GCTCTTTCAAAGCTCGCAGACAAGAGGGAGGGGGACGATCATGGTGGCTGGTGTGGTATTGGTCGGTTCGATAGCGGCGTGGGGCAGCGTGTCGATTGATGTTGCCGACTGCAAACATGGCCGTTGATTTTGGATTTGGATTTTGTGGACCTTGGCTCTATTTGAATGAGGAGGTAAACGAGTCTCCAAGCTTTGGATTTTGGCTAGAGGCACAAATTGCAGGTTATAAAAAGCGAGGATGCCCATTAATATAGGTGAGAAAATTGAAGTCAGCTTTCGAAATTTTTCCTAGTAGAGTAACGCTCATGAGCGATTCCTTTTAATAATTATAGAACATGAAAAAGATCAAAGTAGCATAATTCATCATTCTTACGAAAATTCAATCAATTATATATTGCCGATATATAATTGTCAAAAAAAAATTAATGGAATTGGTTTCCCATGCGGGGCACAATAGCTAGGCAAAGCCTCACCACATGGGGCGGGTCCGGGTCTGCCATTGCCGGCCCGCCGCCATTATAATCCCAACGTAGAACCATGCATATCACGACCATTTATACCTAGTTATGATTGTTTTATAACGTCGTGACATCGCAAGATATAAAAACAAGACATATACACGATATAGTAACGTAGTATAAAAAAATCGGGGAAAATTTTAAATAAAGATCCGAAATGATATTGTTTTCTAAATAAGCCCAAATTAGACAATGCCTAAAAAATGTCCAAAGTGACCACTTAGTTTCGAATAAAGGTTTTAATTCGTTAGCACATGCACCTCACTCAATCTTTTTGTTCCTGTTTGTTTCTTGTTTTCACTGTTCATCTTCTTACTTCTTCCGGCATCTGTACCTCACTCAATCTCACTCACGACAATGGCCGCTTCCTCCTTAGGCCATCGTTGTCCTTGTTGGCGTCGTCCTCGGCACAGGAACTGATCATCGTCGACAGATGCGTCCCCGGCGCTCAAAATCTCGGAGCCTTTTCTGGCCGGATAACACTCGGAGAATGAGCAAACATGGAGCAAAGGGATCTCACTATTGTAAACCTCTATTACCACAACGTCAAATGGATTTTCCATCATAGATTGGAAGGTTTCTCCAAAGAAAATAGAACAGATGTAATCGGCCAATAACTGGCATTCTGGGCATTGAAGAAAAATTCATTTACTGGTCTCCAGAGCTCTCCAAAAGGCACAAGTGACACTGTGCAACTGAACGAAAGGAAGTCTTGCCCGCTTAATGAGCACCCTACACAACATGGGCTGAAGCGAGTGAGCACCAGTATAGAGGTGGCAGGAAGAAGAAGATGAACAAAGAAAAAGAAAAAGAAAAGGAGAAGTGCCTCTGGACGAAAATACCCTTGCGCTTATGGTCGTAATAAGCATGTGAGACGCATGTGCTCGCCGGTTGACGAAGATTTGACCGGCCGGCGAGTTCGGACCCTTATTTGAGATTGAGTGTTCCCTCGGGCCTTATTTGAGAAAAAGTGACCATTTTAGACCCTTATTTGAAACAAAGTTTTACTTTGAAACCCTTTTCTTTTTTGAGAAAATGATGTCATTTTAGGTTTTTATTTGAAAATTTTCCAAAAGATCGGGAGGCTAGATATCCCAAAGCGGGCATCTCTTCAACCATTAATTAAGGTAGATAAGTCAAGTTTGATTAACATAGACATTCGTCAGAATCGAAAACCTAACAAAAGAGAATCGATTCCGATCAAGTAATGTCAGGACAGACCTAACCAAGACTATAGCAAGCGTTGGAAGGTTTGAACCTAGAAAGAGAAACTCAATCCGGTTTCTTGTAATCGATTCATTAATGTGGTTTCACAAAGAGAGCGAGTAGATTTGCCATTGAATTATCCAAGGGGAACATATTTTAGTAGGGGTGTCAATGGGTCGGGTCGGGTCGGGTTTTCATTATACCCGACCCGATCCGAAACAACGAATATGTGTGCTTGGCTCGACAAACAAGACCCGAACATGATATAGCCACACAATCGGGTCGGTTCGGGTCATGTTCGGGTCGGGTCGGGTTCGCGTTTGGAAAGAGGGAACACCAAATTAGATATATAGACCAAAGCTCTCATGAATGCTCTATATAGACCAAAGCTCTCATGAATGCTCTATTGGCAATAGCTTTCGTTATGCATAGATATATAGACCAAGACACACGGGAACACGACTCAATCGCCAAATTAGTAGAAGCTAAGTAAGTCGAACAATTTATGCTATTTCACGGATATTTGAACATTATTCGAAGAAAAGGAGTTCCAAGTTGGCACGATGCTGCCCCCTCACCACAATAAATTCAAAGAACGGTGAACAGAGAGCAAAGAAGTACACTGAGCCATCTCTTCACAAGTTCGTCTTCCAATATTCACTCAAAAGCCCAATACCATGAATCACTTGAGGCGAACTGGCCTCTGCAGATTTTTTTCCCTTTGTTTCTCCTTTTCTTCTTGTTTCTCAATGCATTCTTGCTCAACGTTCTGTTATAAAAAACCAACCAGCATTGTGAATTAGGGGCTATATTAATCACGTAAAGGACAATGTAACAATGAACGAAACGTGTAAGCATCCAGATGGGTTCCTCATTCCGTGAACGAGATCACAAAACATGGTCATCCCACAAACAGATGTTGCCTTAAAATCACACCACAAGGTGGTGCTAGCTTAAGTCCCACTAGCGAGCGAAGATCACCGCTAGAACAACAAGAAGTACACAAAAATTGAACTGAGAAAACTCTCGATACAATCACACACCTTTTAATTCCATTCATCACGCAACAAAGAGGGAAAAGAGAAAAGCAAATGCCAGCAAGGTAAGAACAGGACTTTCAACGAAGGATGGCACTTCCACTTCCAGTTGAGAAGCCAAACCAAACTCGAGAATTCAACCCACACCAAGACAGTAAAAGGGTCATGTTTGAGCGGGTATTTTTGACACCCCTATATTTTAGCTTCGCGCAACATTTTACCCCGTGGCACAAAACACCGTGGAAAGCTACAATCGGTCATTTCCTTCGGCTGGCCGATGATGCTGCTATCCATTGTTGCAAGCTCGTTCATGGCGTCAAAAGGCAAAAAGGAAACGAAGAAAACTGTGACAGAAGAGAGTAACGAAGGAGAGATAAAAAATCTGAGAAGTGGGCCCATTTAAACACGTGGCGATCAATGAGGGAACGCTTCGATAAAAAAAATAAAAATGAGTGGAGCAATGCACAGTTTACATGGCAAGACAGGCCTACCCAATATTTCCTCTCGCACACCATGACGCAAAACGCCGTAAAAAAGGTACAATCAGTCATTATTCCTTCGGACCGAAACCGTAGCAGATTAGATGTCTCTTTCTTGGCCCCTGGTTAGCCCCCAAGAGCAGCAAATAGCTTACCAATAAACAATCTCATAAGATCCTGGCCAGGTCAAAAAAATGTTCACAACTTTCACCGACCAGTGTACTGGAAATTAATTACTTGCTCGAATTTTCGCACATGTCAAGTCGAGGGCCACCACATAAAATTCCTTTAAATGCGGACTTCATGATATTTCTACCCATGATTTTTGTCTGAAGCAGGCCAATTCTGAAGTAACTATAATGCAATGGACTTCGTAGATCGGATAAGTCTAAGTCCAAAGGCCGAAAGGGACAACATAGAAAAGCGGGGAAACATGCTGATAATTACAGCTTTGTTCTAATTTTGCAATTTCTGGGGGTCTGCCTGCTTTAGGTACCGCATCGAGTTCGAGGGCATAATCTCTACATGTGATGGTGATAGATGATCAGATACTATACAATAAGAATGATTTTCCATGCATATGAAGAAGTAAAAGATGGCTAATGTATGTTTTGAATTGATTATGAGAAAACTACTCATTGATTGCTGGCAGATAATTGAAGGCAAAATAAGCTTGGAAACATCAAAACCAAAGTTTCGAGCTGCTAAGTATTGGAATATCAGACTAAATATAGAAGAAAGGAAAGGTGGTTCTGGCTCTAAGAGGAAACGTCATGATGTACATGGCGAAACGGAGTTGGACCCTTTGCTTGAACAAGAATACCTTTCGAAAAGAGTCGAGGGAACACGCTAGTGCCACGATCATTGGTGATTTCGCGTAAGAAATCGTCATCTTGACGGAGAGATTCATCTCGAAGATGAGCAAGACGAAACGAATGACATGAAGCTTCAACCTCATCATCACGACGATGAAACTCGATTAGGGAAATATCTTCCATGGGAGGGAAGCAAGGCGTGCCTCCAATTGGCACGTTTTGAATCCATTTTTGCCAAATCAGGATTATGGCAAAACTGTCCATAACCACAAGCTTGGCTTTTTTCCTGCCCCTAAAACATGATTCTAAGGAAGCCTGCCGAACATCATAGGTAGCCGGAAAATCAGAATAACTCCCATTTTTTGCCAAACCTAACCCAAAAGCATAACATAAGTTCACATTGCCCATATCTGAAGACTTAGCCATGAAAAACTTACTTATATAGATAAGTGTATATTTTCTTTCGAAGCATTGCACCGATGTCAACACGATAAAAATCCTTAATTTAGACCGACCGTCTGACTAATCGACTAATCGAAATCGACAGATTTTACCCTTTACATCCTAAGATTACTCGACACCATATGTACCGAAGATTCCTGCATCGCATAAGGAAAAACGAGAGCTAGCAAACTATGACCTTATAAATTATCCTACCCTTTGATCAAATTTCCCCCATACTTCAGCACACCATACCTCGAATTGAGGTCTCGGTGTTGCGTGACCAGGTTCATAACTTCGCCGGCCCACCCTATCTTCTGCTCCGGAGAAAAACCACCTTCAAGAAAATCAGTTCTGTGAGAAAAACAAAACCACCCCAACGCCCTCTGAATTGCAGGTCAATTAGTCTCCTTGACGAGACAAAGCTAAAGCAAATTCTATTCAAAGTACATCTACAGCAGATATTACAGAACACAGAGGGAGAGAGAGAGAGAGAGAGGGAGAAGAGAGAGAGAGAGAGAGAGAGAGAGAGAGAGAGAGGGAGAAGCAACCTTGGAAGCAGGAAACGGTCAGGCCAGCATGTCATTTCTGCAAGAAGTATGACACCCAGATCTTAATTCTCATCCATCACCAGCCAACAGATGAAGACAACAAAATGAAAAGGAAAAGGCAAAGGAAAAAAAAAACAATTAACAGTCTCGCAAGTTGCAGTAGCAAAAGCATACGTACACATACGAAAGTATCCATACGTAGGCACCCGCAGTAGCAGATGCGCCCAGCACAACGAGAGAGAGAGAGAGAGAGAGAGAGAACCTTCGCCGGTGAATCGAGCATTCGGTAAGCATCGGCCGTGATTCCCACCAACCAAAGACCTGGGAAAACGCTCTGCAAAAGCCAAAACCAGAAACGAATGAAACAGTGCAAAAGGGTTGGTTCTTCGTCGAAGAATTCACCACCCAGAACATCAACACGAAATAGCACAAAACGACGCGATCGAAGATCCTCCGTACGTCGAGCTGTTTCTGCACATTCCGGGGTCGCTTCCTCGGTCTCCGAGCGGGCCTTGACCCGGTCATCGCGAAGATGTCCTCCTCGATCTCCTCCTTCGACAGCGACACCCACAGCCTCCGCTTCCCCTCCTCCGCCTCCTCCTTCCTCTCTCCGCTGGCCGCCTCCGCGAAGCCTCGCAGCCGCGCCGATTTCGGCGGCTGATTCGCGTTCTCCTTCCTCTCCCCCTGCTGGACCGATGGATTAACCGTCGGAAACGCTTCGCGCGGCTCCCCGTTCCTCGAGGAGCCGTTGCTCGCTCCTCTCCTCGGCCTCAGGTTCCACGGCCTCTGCACGGCCTCCTCCGCTTCGGCTTCTTCGTTGTCGCCGTCGCCGCCGCTGCCCTTGTTGTTGTTGCCGCCGCCACCGCTCCTGTGATCGGTGCCGGCGATGTTGATCTTGAACGCCTCCCTCTCCCCTCTAGAGCCCAACGCCTGTTTCTGCGGCTTATCGAGGGCCGGCGCGGAGCAGCTGCCGAGGGCGCGGCAGGAGCGCGATCCGAGCGCCGGAGGGCACGATTGCGGCTCGAGGTCGTCCGGAGGCGGGGGAGGAGGAGGGGAGTCGCCGGAGGGGGAGGGGCGGCGGTGCTGGCGGTGGCTGGCGGTGGCGCCTCCCCAGCGCAGGAAGGACGGCATGGAGAAGTTGTGGAGCGGCTGGGACTTCACCGGCGCCGTCGCCATGGGAGGCGGAGGAGAGTAAGATAACGAAGAGAGAACGGGAACACAGCTGCCCCGGAAAACGCAGCGGGCGACGGCGCGTATGGAAAGTACACGATCGCGGGTTCGCGCGATGCGCCCAGTTGCTCTTGCGTTGACCGAGTGGAGGATCGCAATGGTGGAGAGAGAGAGGGAGAGAGGGGCGACGATGGTGTGGCGAAGATGAAGAAGAAGGAGAGGAAGAAGAAGAAGAAGGAGATGCGAAGCGAAGAAGGAGAGGAGGAGGAGGAGGAGGTGATTGCGAAACAAGACGCGGCGTGTTTTGTATGAAGCCAGAATACACAGCCGGGCTACAAAAACGGGGCGTCGTTTTTGCCCTCCTTCGCCATCTTCTTCTTCTCTCTAATTCGATTTGGCAGTACAATACTCGTATTATAATTTATCTTTAACGTATTTAAATTTATACGGTGTATGTGCATGTGTTTTTTGGGTTTAGTTTTCCGTTTCTCGTGATTTCTAAATTTGCGGGAGGAAAAAAAACGCAGGTTCTCTCTCGTGATTTGATTTTGGCGCGTGCTGGTCCGTACGGTATCGCCGTATTAACCGAAAAATACGAGGACGTTTTGTGCGTTAAAACGAACGTATTTTGATGATAGTGTGATGTTTCGATTTTCACTTGGTACACCAACGTAATTGAGGGAAGTTCATGCAAATTCATTCGAGTAGTTATTTCATTGCCATGAATGCTGGATTTCTTATTCCATTTTTGACATGAACCTGATGTTTTTTATCATATGGTAAGAAAGAGTGATGAAATTCAGTTTCTATTTAACTCTTTTGATTAGCATATTTTGTATGATTATGGTTCGAGCCTTTTTGAAACAAGATGTACTTTTAAACTTAAATTGGTGCTTTTTTCCCAAAAGAAAACTCGTTGCTTTCTCTCTAAAATTGTGAAAAAAGGAAAGAACGATTAATTTATCGACAAATGTTACATGATCATGTACTCGTATCGCCATGCTTTTTCGTAACTGATCGTGAATGACAATCTTTTAAAGATCTGTATTCACAAAGTTAGAAAGTTTAACGGTAAAAATAAATTGACATCTAAGTCGAAACTACTGTAATTCGAGTATGTACATTGAACCGACCAAAAAAATTATGTACATTGTGATGGTATGATTTTTATGAAATGATAATCGTGAGACCACAATTTATTGAGAATATTATCTTATGATAATTTTAGAAGAAGTATAAAAAAAAAATCACTCAATTACTATCTCGGAGCAAAACGGAAATTCCAACTCTATGCAATATTGTCCATCACAATCTTTTCCTTAAAAGTTTAACTTATCAACTTTTTTTTTTTGGCTAATAAAATAGTAACTAAGCAAATATCATAAATACAAGTCTCAGGCTAAGCAACACAGACATAAACAAAATCGAAAAAAAAAAAGAAAATCAAAAGTTGGAACTCAATAAATAAAAGCTCATTATAAATGTACATGAGATTGTCACGAGCCTTTTGTAAATCGGATTTATTGTCACGAGCCTTTTGTAAATCGGGATTTTTTTGTTTTGCTACTGCATTAGCGCTTCATCAAATAAAGAATGTAAAAAAAAAATCTATTTCGGGAAAAAGAAAACAGAAAAAATCCGTAATTAAAAGAGGAAAAGAGTATGACGAAATATAAAAAAACAACTAATATGCTTGATTCTTGTGTAAAAGGATATATGATTACCTAAAATCAAAATATATATAAGTCAACGATTTAATTGTTGGTCATTTAACATGCATTTTCGAGGGAAATTATGTATGCAATCGATGATATGTATTTTGGGAGAAAATAATAAAATCTTTCGAGGGAATGCTTGGTGAAGAAGAGTTACGCGAAACATCAGAATTTTCATTGCCGTTAAATTGCCATATCCAAGCTCATTGTTTTTTTCAAATAGAAAATTCAAAACTCGCGATATTGGATGTGCTTCGAATAAGAAAAGTATAACGTACTACGCATCTAATTTAGGGACGGCTTTTAAGGACGAATTTGTTACCATGCGTTTACATAAATCACCATCCTTGTACTTTCGCAACGGTTGTACGTGCAATTAAAAGGTTTTGCAAATATAACATTACAAAAATGGATAATGACACGAATGGTTTACGAACCTTAACTCAATATGATTCTTTCAATATGGTCAATGAACTTTAGCTCAATATGCAATGTTATCTCTGAATTTTTAGTTTGTTCAATGTGGTCCCTGAAATTTTGTATTTGTTCAAATTAGTCCCTCAACTATGTGAAAATATCAAATGTTATCTTTTCATTGATTTAAGTACATGGACAACATTCGATATTTTTAAATAGTCCATAGATAAGTTTAAACATTTACCAAGAATTCAGGGATCATATTAAAAAAATTAAAAGGTTCAAAGACGACTATTGCACATCGGATTAAAGTTCAAGAATCGCATGAAGCGAATTAAAAATTTATGGACCACCGTGTCATTTTCCTTTACAAAAACGAAAAGAACAAAAAGGTGTAGCGGTACGTACAGCCCGGGTGGGCCGACCACGACCATATTGGGACGTACTTCCTGCGAACGAGCCCCGAAAACGACGCCGTTGTGCCGAATCGACGGCCGACCCCTCGAGTGCCTCTAATTTTCAAAAACAAAACGGGGACCCAAAAAATTAAAAAAGAAGAAAAGAAAAAGAGAGCTTCTCCGACCTCCAATGGCTGCACCATCGCTTAAGCCCTAGAAAAATCTGGAAACCTCTCTGCTCCGCTCTACACTCTCTCGGTCGGTCGGTCGTCCGGTCGTGCATTTCGCTCGTCCCCTCGGGATCGTCCGCCCGCCAATCGACGCGTCGGTCCGGCCTCCCCTTCCCCTCCGGAGCGCGGCGGCGGCGGCAGAAATGGAGGCGAAGCGGCTGAGCAACGGGCCGGTCGTGGCCTCGCCGGACGGCGGCGGCGGCGGCGCCCGCTCGAGATCTCTGCGACCTAGCTGCAGCAGCGGAGCTGTTCGGGTACGCGCTCGCCTTTCTCACGTCCGCGGAGGACGGACTCTTTAGTGTGTTGTTCTGTACGGACGGCGGTCGTCCGTCGGGAGGCAACGGGGCGCGCAGTGTTTTTGGCTAAGCGTCGTTGACGGCGCTTGTTTTCGCTGTTGTTTGGAGAAAGGACTGCGTTTGGCAGTTCAAGCTTTGTCGGTAATCGGTGCCACCATAGGCTCCGCCACGGCGGCAGTGGCGGCGGCGTTTTAGTGTTCTGAGCATTCGATTAGCGTTTTTATGTCTATAATCGTGCTCATGTCGAACGAGATGCAAGTCTTTGCCCCCTCCAAGCTGCTTTTCCTCCGAATTCTTTCGATGCATAGCTGTTGGGGGAGTCCGAGACTTATTTTCATGTGGCTTAAGGTTGATTTGATTCTGTCGTGAACAATTCGTTTGAGTTGAGCTCATGCATTTGACACAAATGTTCAGCTAGTGAGACTTTAAAACTTCTTTGAGTTGATTTTTTACACGTCGAGGCGGTACTCAAACGATTCTGAAAAAATTGGAATGACATATTGGACTATCTCTGGAATTATGGCATTACATCAATATCTGTTTTTACTTTTGTTTCGAGAAGATTACCTGTTAATGTGGTGTGCTATTTGCCCCCCTATAATTTGCTTCTCAGGAAGCATTGGAACACCTAGCTTCTGTTGATTTGGTAGACTTGTGCAATGAGGCGAAGATTGAGCGGTGCAGGGCGACTAGGGACTTGAGAAGTTGTGGCCGCTATGTACATCATGTTCTAAACTCCTGCGGTCATGCATCCTTGTGTGCAGAGTGTAGTCAACGTTGCGATCATTGTCCGATATGTAGAACCCAAATACCCAAAAGTGGCAACAGACTTCGGCTTCGTCTGTACTACGAGTGTATCGAGGCTGGCCTTATCTCGAAAAGATGTGATGAGAGATTTCAAGAAAGAGAAGATGAGAACCAACTGAACGCGGACGTTCAACGTCTATATTCTTTGTTTGATGTGGCATTGGAGAATAATTCGGCGTCTTTGATATGCCACTGTATCCCCCAAAAATTTGAGTTGCTTTCCTCTACAGAAGTTTGCTTCCACATTATATTATTCAATTTGCTAACCAAAATTTACAGAAACTGGAATTTCCTTAAGAAAGAATTGGTCATTTATGAAAAGCGTTTTACAGGAATTGCAATAGGGTGCTGTTAACATAGACAACAGAAAAACATTAATTCGAGTATTCATCCTTTTCCAAATAACATTAACCTATATTCCCTGATAAGATTCATTTTTCTTTATCCAAAAGCATTTTGTTTGTGGAACATGTTCTCTTTGACAGAAGTTCAACAGATGTTACAGATGTTTGTATGGATGAAAGTGCCGTATCTAGTGATCCTGTCACTGCCTTCTTGCTTGATGAAGTGGTTGTAAAGGATTGGTGCAAGCGAACATTCAATAACATCTTGGCAGAGCTTCGAGGAATATGTATCCTGAAAGACTTTCTGACACATTTGGAATTCCAGTCTAGTTCAACTTTTGTGTTTGGATGTAATTTCTCCTTAACATTTTTGTGAAATAGATAACCTTGAGTTGATGGATATGAAAAGCAGATCAAGTTTGCTTCTCAGGTATTCTGCACAGCTGGCCGGCATGTCTAATGTACTAGAAGTTTTGGAGTCGTCGTTCAAGGGAAGTCTTTCCCCGCAGTTGCATGACTTGCACCATCTTCATGAGAGCATATTGAAGACAAAGCAGGTTTGGTTACTGGAGTTTTCAGTAGTTCACTTGAAAACCATGTTCATAGTTTTCTATGTTACTGTTTCTTAGAGAATTTGTTTTCCAATATTATTGTGGGATAAATTTTCAATCATTGATATAGCTAAATTACACACGGGATATTTACCTATCGCAATTGTCAGCGGCTGGAGAATGCTTGTGTTCTCTAACCAAAAGATAGAGCTGAATGTACGGTCTTAAGTCTAGGATATGCCCAGTACAATCCACTCATATATTACTTTCTAGAAAAAGAAGAACAATCCACTTTTTATAGAACTTGCACCAGGTGGACAATTCATTATAATTACAAATTCTGTTGAGGCACTGGGTGTTTGGACAAATTTAAAGTGAATTTCAACAAGCTGCATTAGCAGACATAAACATTGACATGCTTCGCTTAATTATTATTATGGGTGGAATCTTTGTTACAAGACTATGTAACTATGAAATAGCCTGTCACATCTGAACAAGTACTGAGTTTGGGTATATTAACTGGAGATCAAGATGTGAAATTGTTCCACAGAATGCATTGACTCTGATTTTTTAAGGTGGGAGTAACTTAGTTACTGCTCTTTTCCTCTTCATTCAGCATATGGAGATTATGATGTGGTGCATACGGCATGAATTTTTAGCAACTCGGGGGTCTCGGTATGCTAAT